TTCTCGATTTAATTCTCTGTTTGATTTCATGTGTGTTGTATGAATTTCTATTATTTTTATTGTGTTTTGGTATCTTTGTCCAGTTTAATATTTTTTGATTTAGAGTTTAAGTGTGTGTGTGTGTGTTTGTATATATATAAATAATATTTAGATTGTTTTAAAAAGTTACAATAAAGATTATTTCAATAAAAAACTTGTTTCGTTTGGCAAACTTGAGTCGTTTGTGAATTATAAAGTTTGGTTCATTTTTAATTTTTTTGGTGACAATTTGTTTTTAAAATTTCGTCATTTGTTGAGACTTCTTCCACCAAAAGTATAGCCTCACCCTATATACTTGTATTACACCGGAATGTGAATATAAGTGGTGTGCGCTGAAAATTTACCCATTAATTTCGGTCATCATGGCTTATTAAGCATGAAAAGTGTGACACATTCTGTGAAAAGTCAAGAGTTTGTCTTCACAATCAGTACTTTTGAATCAGATTTTATTTTGGTTTTTTGAAATTTTCTCGAATACAAAATCGGCCCAATAAGAAAGCTCCACCTTTATTCTTTTTTTTTTTTTTGATAAATGAGAATAAGATTTAAGAGTAAGTACAATAACAAAAGATAGTAATTAAAAGCATCCTAATGTAGCATGGAGGGGATGTGCATCCAAATCCACTTGAGCCTTTGTTGAATTTGGCAGTTGGTCTGGTTGGAGTGGACCTGTATAACCCATAAATTCCCATTTCGGATGATGCTGAAGAATGACTTTTATGTCTTGTACAATTGAGAGCACAGTCCAATGAGGTTTGACATGAGGGAGCATGATGGAATGAACTACAATCTGTCTCCTTCTATGAGCACATAAGACCATCGCTTGGCATGTGCCTATTCCACAGCTTGCCTTGCAGCTAAAGCTTCAGCTATGAGTGGGTCTATTTCTGTTACGATCTGGAGTTCATTTCCTATAACTGATCCATCATGAAGTCTGGCAATTGCTACAATAGATGAATTCTTATTCCCCACCGCTGCATCAAAGTTAACTTTTGTAATTCCTTCATGAGGGGATCTCAAAAATTCTAGTGGTTTTTGGATTGGTGGGGCCTTTGGATGGATTTTAACTTCTCAAACTCATCAAAGGTCTTCAAAACTTGTTGGAGGAATTGGTGTGGAATGACTGGTTGACTATTATGAAGAGTCTTATTCCTCCAAGTCCAGGTACTATAAGTCAAGATAGCTGTGAATAACAACAGTTCAGAGTAAGGAGGGCTATTGGGTCCAAAAAGGATGGTGGGATGGAGGATGTTCTGAATCCATTCCTGTAGACTGAGGTGAGAAAAGGAATCTGTACGAAGCCCCCATATTGTGAACCAGACCATCCTAGGCAAATGGCAAAGGAAGAATAGATGTGTGGCTGTTTCTAGATATTGGTGGCATATGGGGCAATGGATGTCTAGTATAGAAACTCTATTTGCTAGTAAAGTTCTAGTTGGGAGACACTCTATAGTTAATCTCCAAATGAACATTTTGTGTCTTTCATGAATAGAAGTTTGCCATAATCTCTTCTAGTCGCTTTTTGCTAGGTAGTGACTTTGTGAATCTTGCACAGCTTTATAAGATTTGTAGGCAGACTTGCAGTCAAAATTCTCATTCCTGTTCAGTGTCCACAATAGCTTACCTTCCCTCTGGAAGGTTGGGATATGAATTCTTAGTATGGCATGAATGGTTTATTGATTGAACAATGATGATAAAGAGTTATGTTCCAGCTGTTGGTGTCCTGGTCAATTAGTTTAGATACAAGGCTAGGAAGATTCTTTGATTCCTGTTGAAGATGGACTTTGAATGTTGGCAGATTAGGAACCCAAGGTTCTGTCCTAATATTTATTGATTGACCATTTCCCACCATGTAGCAGGCACCTTGCTCGATGATTAGTCTACACTCCAAAATTTGTTTCCAGATTTGAGAATCTTGTGGTTGTTTACTGGTGTAAAAGAAAGAGCTTCTAGAGCAGTATTTCCTGCTCAACTAACTAGTCCATAGCTTGTTTGGGTTGGAAATCAATTGTCATCCCAGCTTGGACATTAAAGCTTTATTCATATCAGAAGTTCTTCTGAAACCTAAGCCTCCAAATTCCTTAGGTGTGCATAATGAGTTCTAAGATTTCAATGTCAGTGTATGTTTCTCTTCAATATGACCCCTCCAAAAGTTCTTGATTGGTCTATCCATCTTGTTGCAGAGGTGCTGTGGCAATAGGAAGGATTGCATGGCATAGATTGGCATTGCCAAAGCTGTTGACTTTATTAGAGTTGCTCTCCCTGCATAGGAGAGTAATTTGGCTTTCCAACCCTGCAGCTTCATGTTAAGCTTCTGTAAGATTTGTTGGAATGATCTTGTTTTGGACCTCTTTATGAAATGAGGCAGTCCTAGGTAAGTAGCTTCCAAAGGTCCTTTTTTAATCCTTAAAATCTGTTTGATGGGCCTGATCAGGGAATGTTGGGCATTTGGGCTATAGTGCACTCTAGATTTCTCATAGTTTATTTGCTGCCCAGACCATTGAGCATATGTAGAAAGACAATTTTTGATAGCTGCAGCATCTTTCTTGGTGGCTCTTGCAAAAATAAGGAGGTCATCTACAAACATTAGATGACTGATAGGTTCGCAGCTTCTTGAGATTTTGATGCCTTTGAGATTTCCCAGTAATGCTTCCTTGTGAATTAATCTAGAAAGAATTTCAGTGCAAATCACAAACAGTGAGGGTGAAAAAGGATCTCCCTGTCTAAGACCTCTTTGGGCATGGAAGTTTCCAAGGGGTCCCTCATTGATCAGGACTGAGAATGAAGCTGTGGAGATACATTGCTCAATCATATTGATAAATTGGTCAGGAAAACCAAGAACCTTAAGAACTTGCAGAAGAAAAGACCATTCAACTTTTTCAAAGGCTTTGGCAATATCAATCTTTAACATCATTAGAGCACCTTTCCCTTTTTTCTTTTTGAATTGATGAACTATTTCTTGAGCCAAAATGGTGTTCTCTGCAATACCTCTACCTTGGATAAATGCAATTTGGTTTGGAAAGACGATTTGGTCTAACAAAGGTCTGATCCTATTGGCAAGGATTTTAGAAATGATCTTATAAGCAATATTACACAGACTAATTGGCCTATACTGATTAACTGTGCTGACCTTTGTGGATTTGGGAATGAGACAAATATTGGTTCTATTAATTTCAGACAACATGTGTTCTCCAGCAAAGAAAGACCTGACCATATCAGATAAATCCCCTCCTATGGTATGTCAATATGTCTGGTAAAATATGGCAGACATACCATCGGGACCAGGGGCTTTGATTGGAGGCATTGCAAAGAGAGTTGCTTTAATTTCTTTTGGTGAGGTATGGCACAAAGATCTGGATGTTGTTCAGGAGTGATTATGGGTGCTATGAGGTCATCTAAGTGCTGGGGAAAGTGAGGATTAGATGTTGTGAAAAGTGTTTGAAAGTACTACAGGAATTGGTTACCAATAGACTCCCTCTCTGTGATCCATGTTCCATCTAGAAGCTTCAAGCAATCGATTGAATTTTGTCTGCCTTTGATGACTATGGTGGTGCGAAAGAATTTGGTATGGGCATCTCCTTCTTTCATCAATTGGATTCTTGATTTTTGCTTCCACATCTCCTCCTCCTTTCTGAGTTGTTCATTAAGATCATGCTGTAGGATTTTCTCCTCCGCTATATTGTCTTTAGTTGGTTCAGCTTGTTGTAGATAATCAATTCTGCTCCTTAGTGCCTTTGCCTTATGGATACAGTTTCCAAATACTTTCCTATTTCAATGCTTTAATGCTGGTTTAGTAACTTGTAACTTCCTGCAAAACTTGTATGCTACTGATCCTCTTCTATTAGTCTTCCATGATCCTTTGACCACATGGTGACTACTAGGGTCCCTTATCCACACCTTCTCAAATTTAAAAGGTTTGTGAAAGGTTTTAGGGATTCCAGATGTGTTCAAGAGGAGGGGGGAATGGTTAGAAGAAATAGCTGGTAGATGTCTAATGGTCGAATGTGAAAATAACATTCTCTANAGATGTGTTCAAGAGGAGGGGGGAATGGTTAGAAGAAATAGCTGGTAGATGTCTAATGGTCGAATGTGGAAATAACATTCTCTAGTCAAGTGTGACTAGTCCTCTGTCCAATCTTTCCTTGATGTTTGCAAGACCTTGACGTTTATTGGACCAGGTGAAAGGGTTGTCGTGATAGCCAATGTCAACAAGTCCTTGGTCATTAATGAAAGAACCAAAGCCACCATTTGATGGGGATGCAAATGATTTACCCCCTTTTTTCTCCTCCTAAGATATCACATTGTTGAAGTCTCCTATAAACATACTTGGCCATGGGCTATTCATGAGTATTTGATTTATTGAGTCCCAGAGAGCAGGCTGAAGTCTTTTTTTTGCTGGAGCATATATGCAATTAAGCAACCAACTTGAGTCTGGAGGGTTCGAAGTAATCACAACTGATATGATGCTTTGGTTTGCAAGCAATACTTCAATCTCAACGCCTTTCCTCCAACACAAACATATTCCACCAGATAGTCCTTTAGCACTTTGTATCTCAAAGTTGTGGAATCCAAGGGTAAACAATTTTTTTTTGGTTTTTCCTGAAGAAATTTTAGTTTCTAAAAGGAAGATAAAGTCTGGGTAATGCCTTCAAATGGTGAATTGTCGAGGCATGGCCCAGCCCTCGACAATTCCATATGTATCCTATCATGGTGAGGGTGGGGGCATGGTCAAGCCCGCCTCCTCAGCCATTGAAATGGTTTCCTTTNGATGAAGTGTGGGTGATACTCCCTTATTTGAGCCTTCAAATGGCGAATTGTCGAGGCATGGCCCAGCCCTCGACAATTCCATATGTATCCTATCATGGTGAGGGTGGGGGCATGGCCAGGCCCGCCTCCTGAGCCATTGAAATGGTTTCCTCTGTAACAAGAACTTAGGTCTCTCCATGGATAGTTGTGCTGAAATGCGTTGTTTCCTTGATGGTTCTCTGGCATTTGAACTTCCTGTAAGGTTTCCTTTGAAGTTGGTGGGTGGGGTGAGTGGGTGAGTTTTGATGTTTATCAATTCTGACTTGGTCATTGGGTTTATTTGTTTCAGAGAGTCGGTGAATATCTGGGGGTAGAGTTATCCCAGCATGAGGTTTAACTTCAACTGAATTTGGACCCTTTGCTGGTATAGGTTATCTAGCAATTATACCATCGTCTCTCCTGTAGAATTTTGGTGGTCGGATATGGATTCCATCTTCGAGAGCATTCCTTTTAAGTGAGAGATGTGTGAAGATTATGGCCATGCATTCATCAAAAAAGGTACCTAGGTGAGGTTGTAGTGGTGTTTCTTGGCTTATGGTAAGGGATGAACGTGATTTTTCCTCCATTGGACTGTGTGGAGAAATGAGAGTTGGGTCTTGAGAGTTATTGTTTAAAGCAAGTGGTGAGGTGCTGCTTCCCTGCGTTGTTTTGTGTAGAGGGACAAGTTACAGGCAAGGAGGGGTTTTGGAGAGATCAATTGAGCTTTGGTTTTTATTTTTGGGTATGAGTGTTATGGTCATTGGGTTATTGGGCATTGTTTGGGTTTTGGTGTCATTGGGCTTGACTGGTTCTGGGTTTTGGGGTGGGCTATCTGTTGGGCAATGGTCATTATTAATTGGTGTGGTGGATGGGTTGATTCTGTCATGGATGTAATGTGGGCCAGTTTTGGATAGGTTAGGGTTAGTTAGTTATGTGATATAAACGGACTGTGGTGAGGGGTTTAAGGTTTGGGAAAGCATTGTGTCTCCTGAGGCGGTGTGGTAGGGAAGAGAAGAAGATTATGTTGTAGAGTTTGTTATCAAGGGATCCAATGGGTACGTACCACGTGGTGATTCCTCTGTAGGTTGTGATTCTGGACGTGAGTGCGCCGACTTTGCCACAGGTGTACGATCTGCTGTACATGTGCTAGAATCTGTTTATTGTTCACTCTCCGATGCTAGCGATGGGAAGGTTGGTTCACGCGCCACTGTTGCGGATAAAATTACTGGTTCACGCGCCTCTAATTCTAGCCATGATTGTGGGTTTTCCAATGAAAGTTGTGAGGTTGATGACGCTCCTAGGTTTGCTCGAAGCTGGGGACCTTATTCCCCAGATTGATTGTTTGCTGGTTTGTGATTACAAATGCTTCTTTCGTGTCCTATCCTCCCACATAATAGCACAAATCCCCTAATCGTTCATACTTTAGAAGTATGAGTTTTTTCCTTCCATGGATGGGCATCCAAAAGTGGGTTCTAAAAGGTTGTGTGAGATCGATGGTAACACGGGTATGAATATACCCTTTCCACACTGTTCCTTGGTGCATCTGTTGAGGAGAGAGAGTTGGAGTGCCCAGTGCTTGGGCTATCTTGAAGGCATTTCCAGGCGTGATTAGATCAGGGGATAATCCATGTGATTGTATCCAAAAGGCTGTAGAATTAAATTCCAAATCCGAAATGGATCGATTCCCAGTCCACGGTAGAATTACCATCAGCTGACCTTTAACTGTCCAAGGGCTCATACGGATTACCTTTTGTTTGAGATCCTCGTTCTTGAAGATGAAGATGTAAGTGTCTGCTTCACCATCCTGGATGCTCATTTGTTCCCCTGCATTCCAAGCTTTGGAGAGTATNTGAAGATGTAAGTGTCTGCTTCACCATCCTGGATGCTCATTTGTTCCCCTGCATTCCAGGCTTTGGAGAGTATTTCCTTCACCACATTCCAATTGATGTTTTTGGACGAGAAGATTTTTCCTATGAGGCAAGCATTCTGTACAAAGTCTTTGGTATTCACATCAGATTCTAATGGGATGAGAAGCAATTGTCGGTGGGAAGGTTGATTTTCTATTTGTGATAAGTATCTGTGATTATTCCAGTTGAATAGATTGGGATGAGGTGATGAGTGTTGGTTGGGTGAGTAGAAACATGGTCAAGCGATGAGGAACATGGAGAAAATGTAGAAGAAGAATGTGTTGTGGTGACTGTGGAGAAGTATGGTGAGTAATAATGTTTCAATCACTGGTGTATTGTTTCCATGGATAGCAGTTAGAAGAGGAGCAATGGATAGATGGGATAGTGGGAAAGAGAGGCAGTGTTTGTAGGTTTTGCGGAGACCCTTATGGAGGGGAAGGAGGTGGGAATAAGCAGATTGTTTAGAAACAATAAGTGGAGGAAGTAGAGTTTGATGTTCAGAGGCGGTGAGTATCGAACTCAGGGAAAGACGCCATGGAAGGAGAGGGAGGTGGCTCTACGCACAGAGAGCAGTTTTTGATCGGCATATCCATGATAATTTGTCCACCTTTATTCTTGGATTTGTGTGGGTTTGATGGAGAAATTAAGACCCGAGATTGTCTCGGGTAATTGTAACTTTTTTTTGAGTTAATTACAAAATACCTCTTGAAGTTTAGGTCACATTCAATGGCGATCAACGAACGTGTTATTTCGCTCTATCATCCAGAATTCTCTGGTGGTAAGTTTCATTTTTGCTTCAGTCTCTTCTTTTTTTTTTTTTAGCCGCTTTTCTTTTTAGTGACGTGCCTTTTTCCTTTGCAGGCCACCCAACAGATCTCCATAATAGCGGCGCGGTATCATGGGGCTAGGATGGACCTCCACCGGGTCCGAGAGTAGAAGGAAGAAGCGAAGGGGGCCCTCGCCAGTGCTAAGGAGGACGTAGCTGCCAGGGATTCCACCCTCACCAGGCAGGCTGCTCAAATCGAGCAACTCCTCAAGGATGCCGAGTTGGCTAAGGTCAGCGCTGAAAAGCTAAGTGCTGCCCTTGCCGACGCTGAGGGGAGGATCACAGAGCAGACGCAGCAGCTCTCTGTGGCGGAGTAGAGGGCTGTTGGTTCAGAGGAAAGCTGTTTGGCTCTGACCCAGGAGCTGGACAAGATCAGGGCCGAGGCACAGAACAGGAAGTCCGAGGAGCAACTCCGAGAAGAGTTCGCCGATGACGTGCTCCCCGCTCTTGAAGAAAATAGCAAGGAGTTCTTCAAGAAGGGGTGGGACGAGACGCTCTAGTCTTATGGGATCCCGTCAGACTCCTCGCTCTTCCAGATGCACAAATACGTGTCCTCGGTTGAGATGGAACAGGCCGAAGCCGAGATTGCTGCTGAGGGCGAGATTCCAACGCCGGTGCAAGTTTCGACGGATCTGCCTGAGGCGGTAATAGTGGATTTGTCTGATGAGGCCCCACCGGACCAGGCCCCCGATCATAATATTCCTCAGGGTCTCTCTGTTGCCGAAGTACCTCCCGCTCTGCCTGCTCCCGAAGCTGCTCAACCTTTCTACGCCGATTCGCCCTCGGCGGATGTTTTGGAGATGCTCGGGGCAAAATGAAAAACTTTTTTCTTTTCGATTGTACTTTTCTTTCTTTTTTTGTTGCTCTTGGGGACGCAAAGCCCCTCTTTTTGAAATAAAGCTTTTGAGTACTTAATACTTTCTTGCATACACATTTTTGCGTAGGATTCCTTGAACTGTCTTCAGGGCCTTACCCTTTCAAGAGGCTTGCTCTCGTGGTTGTTTCGGGGGCAAGAGTCCTCGAACTCTGTCTCCAGGGCCTTACCCTTCCAGGAGGCTTGCTCCTGTGTTTGCTTCGGGGGCAGGAGTCCTTGAACTCTGCCCCCAAGGCCTTGCCCTTCCAGGAGGCTTGCTCCTGTGTTTGTTTCGGAGGCAGGCACTGAGGGAGATAATACTCAAAAATAATATTTCTTTAGATTCATCACATTCCACAGTCGCATTACAAGTTTTTCATCCATATCTTCTAATCTATATGACCCAGCGCCTCCGATAGATATCACTTTGTAAGCCCTTCCCAGTTAGGTCCCATTTTCCCTTCTGTTGGGTCATGNCAATCCAGCTGGGCGGCTTGTGTGCATCCTGGACGGCCATTGCCTCGGGAGCATGGCCTATGCAGGATGCAGAAAGATATTCTATGGTGATCCTGCGCGACTGAGAGGACTCCACTGCCGAGGGTAGACAAGCCAGGGCGTCGGCATGTGTGTTCTTGTCTCAGGACACTTGTTTGATCTCAATCCTTCCGAATCTTCGGATTACAGCTGTCGCCTGGTGATGGTAAGCCTTCATTCTAGGNAAATCCTTCCGGAGAGTTCCGCTTTCCTCAAAATGGCCTTTAAGGGCTGATCGGTAAGGACGGTAATTGGGTGCGCCTGAAAATAATGCCTCAGTTTTTTTGCAGTGGTGATCNCCAGTCCAAGTTGACGGTCATTTCCCCCTGCGTCGAAAGCTTGGATCCTTATGGTCAGGAGTCCTACCTCGAGAGGTATGATTGCTTCCATTCCGTAAGCCAAGGAGTATAAGGTTTCTCCTGTCGAGGACCGAGGGGTGGTCTTGTACACCCACAAAATATTTAATAGCTCATCTGCCCATTTTCCCTTGGCTTTCTCCAACCTCTTCTTGATTCCATTGATAATTGTTTTGTTGGAGGCCTCTGTCTGCCCGTTGGCTTGGGGATAGGCAGGGGTGGAGTAGAAATTACGGATTCCGAGTTGCTCGCAAAAAAACTTGAAACGCCCGCCGGTGAATTGAGTCCCGTTATCCGACACCAGTGCCTGGGGAATCCCGAATCTAATGACTATGTTCTCCCAGACGAACTTTTTAGCATATATGTCATGGATGTGAGTCAATGGCTCCGCCTCAACCCACTTGGTGAATANATCCCCGTGAGCTTTTGGACTTCTCGGATAGTTCGGGGGCTCCGGATGTCCAAGATCACTTGAATCTGATCTGGGTTAGCTTCGATTCCTCGTTGGCTGACCAGATATCCAAGAAATTTACCCGATTCCACTCCGAAAACGCACTTTGTCGCGTTCAGCTTCAGCCCGTACTCCCTGAGGGTGGAGAAGGTATCTGCCANAATGAGGAACTTCCTATTTTTCGGAGCCTTAGGCAGGGGTCCAACTAAATCGAGTCCCCACTGGGCGAATGGCCAAGGGCTAGTCAGGGGGTGTAAGTCCCCCGCGGGTTGCCTGATTACAAGGGAGAACTTCTGACATCGGTCCTATTTCTGGACGTATGCACGCGTATCTCTTTGCATTCGCGGCCACCAATATCCCTGAGACATGATGCGGTGTGCCATCGATCGCCCCCCAGAGTGCCCCCCGCATATTCCTTCGTGCACCTCATAGAGAAGGTCTTCCACCTGGTCCTCTTGGACGCATAATAAGTACGGTCCTGAGAAAGACCTCCGATACAGCTTCTGATCTGGAGAGACCCAAAATCT